ATACAGCTCAGCGGGAATCCACATTTCTTTCCCGATTAAAAATCCCTCCCACACTGGAACTATACGGAAACTAGGAATATAGTCGTAACACACTGCTAAGCTGGTAAGTTTTCGCCCATATATCCTGAAGTTTTAACGAAACATAAAATCCTGTAATTACGGCAAGCATAATCTTCGCAAAGACCATGCTTGCCGTAAGTATTGGATACCCCAAAGTATACCCCAAAGACCTCCCTGACCAGCAACACCGACAAACTTCCAAACCAGCAGTGGAAATGCAGTGGTAGTTGGAAATGGGGCATGAATCAGCTGACCTCATCTCCAGAACTGAGGAAGCTAGGAAGCTGAAGTTGACATGATCACTGCGCGGGGTAGCGATGGGCCGATAATTCATCGATTCGCACAAATGATTAAGCCCCGTCTTCAGCTGAATGGGGGCATAATGTGGAATCCCCTTTTTTTCCCCCATTCCCCCTCTCCCTCCCTCAGACCATGAGAGACGGCACTTCGAAGTTTGCTGCAAAAACGCATGTTCGCACCGGCTCGCCTGGTGCGTTCCAGCCTGGGTTTACGCTTGGTAAACCGAAATATACAAATTGCAGCACCAGCAGCATTCAGAAACGGAGGAAGCAGAACGATATCGCACATTCTTCATGAGCACAGGTTTTCTGTTACACCACACTGTCGCTATGCCTGAATTCAACTGGGCGGATGGTCGTGGCTTGGTCGAGCGGCAGGCAGTACTCGGCAATCTCAGGGAACAGTATCTGCATAACTTTGATGCCTTAAAATACCTCAGTAGGCAGCGGTGCCGCCCGGTAGATGTGTTTAGCTGTGCTTTGGATATTATTGGCCCACATGCCATTAAATAAGTGAAACCTTGAAAAAATTTGGATTCAGCTTCCACACTTGTTTGGGCCTCACGTGCGGACAGGAAAGTTCAGGCGGAAAATTGGATCGTCCAATATGGAAAGTTGAAACTCTAGAAGAATTTTCTCTGCTCATGTGCGACCGTGGAAGCTTAAATTCTGCCTTTGCTTACGTCTAGGCCTCGTGCACGAATATATCGAAGTTCAGATTGAAGGCTATTGTCTCCTTTCTAGCAGAGAAACTGGGTAAAGCAAAAAACAAAAATTTTACGAGGATATTTCTTGTGCAAGTATGGCTCCAGAAATTTCAAATCAGCTTTTATCAATCTCTTGCAAAACGAATGCCCGCACCAGCTATCTCGAGTAAAATTAATAAACATATGGGGAAGAGTAATACGTATCGATAAGTTGTTAGGAAACAAGATACACTTCGGTAATGACCCGAGAGAAGTGTATGGCCTGTAGTTGAGCAATACCTTCTTGGCGAGATATGAAATGCCAATGCAGCCAAGACTAACACGCAAGTAGAACCAAGAATGGCCAGAGACTGAAAATCAGCTGTGGCTGAACTCCTGTTAAGAGCTCATCTAGTGATAATTCTTTAGCGGCAACGCGGTAACTGCATGCGTTCACAGCGCAGTGAAAACGTTACCGAAAGGGAACGAGAGAGATGCCTGTAAATCGAACAGGACCTAAAAGATGCTGAGGAAACGGACGATGCTCGCGATCCTTGACGACTTGAGCGATTCTCGACTGAGCTGACGCTGCCGACGAGTTGCAAAATACATTCGGTGACTAACTGAAGTCAAGCCGAGTCGAAGTTAGTGGCGTTGCTGAAGAAGCTGAAGATGATGAAGGCGCAACTGTCGAATTGAAAAAATCCGGACAATGATAAAGCCAGGATACAAATTCCCCAGTCAGGGTCCTTCTGCCTTTTTGTACGTGTCCCTTGGGGAGAAGCTAAACAGTCTCAGGCCAGAAGTTTTTACCGCAGTGTATTGATTACGCTTAGGTCGTGCTGCATTCCTCTCGCACGATAGCTCCTAACACATTTGAAAGCTTCAAACTATAGTGGATATCACAGCACCCATCTTGATCCTGTGATACCCGCTACAGTTTGAAAAGAGAAGGGGGACTAGTTGTCAAAATGCAAGCGTAGCTGCAGATAATCGCTTGATTATATCCTTGTTTGATAAGTAATATATTTTTTTTCATATTGCGCGCTACCATTATCTGGCAGATAATAATTTATTGTTTTGGATTTTAAATTTCTGTAAGAAACAGGGAAAACTTTTTGAATTTCTTTTTTACGAATTTTAGAGCTGTTTTACACTGGTGTGCGCCGCTGTTTATTTAATAAACGCTATGTAATCGAATATTTGGGTTTCAGCAACAAAACAGAGAACTGAAGATTGCATTTTTGAATACCGCAAATTTCTGGAACTCGAATCTGATCC